CATATTTCTCCCCTGCTCCCATGGAGACTGTTGGAGCACTATGTTACTGTTGTTATGTGCTGTAAATTAAGAACTTACCCATAGCAGGTTTTCAGAGGCAGTAATTGACAAAGGAGAGACTGCCCACCTTTCTTCTAAAAAGCAATTGGTGGATTTGAATTATGTATCTTGGCTTAGCCTTACACCTAAACCACCAGGGCTCCCACTATGTTAATTGGGTTCCTTTCATTAGACTCATTACTAGGGTTCCTGCCGTTGTTGTTATGTACCATTGAGTCAGAACAAACCCATAGATGATCCTCCAGTGGGTTTTGAAAGGCAGTAAATTGCACAAGAGGAAATTACCCATCTTGGAGCAGCTAGTGGATTCAAACCTCATTATCTTAGCGCAATTCTTTACCACTAAACCACTTTGTCTCTATTAAGCCTGCATTCTTACTGATTTTAATCCCTTTCTCTCAAGGAATACCCAGGATAGAGGATAAGTCAAGTGAGAGAAGAGGGTGTGGATTATTTTCATGAAAATCTAAGAGACCATGGTACACATTAATCTATTTAACATTTTATTTTTATGAAGAAGGTACTACAAAGTCTCTGTGTGATCTTTCAGTAGACTAGGAAAGAGAGTATGTAGTGTTGGAAAACCCCAGAAAATCTCCTCTTTATCTTGAAATTATTGCCTTACTTTCAGATGTCTTTCTTAAAAAAATGAGCCAGAAAACAACAGTGAATTTTTTAAGTTTGCTAAATGCGATAAGAGAATTTGTTGGATTAACTCTGGCTCACAGAGTTCCTGTTGAGAAAGCAATAGAAGTGTTCAAGATATTTTCTTTTTTTAAAAAAATATATATTTTTAACGAAAGTTTATAAAGAAGTTGCATTTTTCATTCATTCATTGTTGCACATATAACTCCCTACCAAGCCCCTCCAGTTCACTTTAAATTAGTTTATTGTTGCATAATTTCCTTCCTCCCCCTATCCACCAGTCCACTTTGCTTTGCACCTTTTATTCTAGACTTTTGTCATACAAATAATATGTAAGCATATATTACTTTTAAACAGGTTTGGTGTTTTGGGTTTTTTGGGTTTTTTTTTTTCTTTTTTGTTTTCTATCTGCCCCAGTGCAGTGTTCATTAGGAAACAGTTACATGGCACAGGGTAGCTGGTCTCATGGAGCAGAGTGTCACCCCTGACGGCAGGCATTTCTCAGTGATCTGGCTTCAGTGCAAGAGTGAACTATGCCCTTTTGGCCTGGGATCTTTGAATAATGGAGATGAGCCAAGAGCACTGAAGGTGATATCCCCGATCATTGGTAGACACTGTGTTCAGGAAAGCAATTAAAAGATAGCAGAACCAGTTGACCTAAGCTCAGCCTCCTGTATTTTCATTTTTATCCAATAAAAAATAGAACTCGTGTCTGATTTCAAAATAAAGATGCTTTAATTGTGACATACTCCTAAATGAAGAGTCTAGAAATCCCTGCATCCTTGCAGATGCTCTATTAACTTCTCTGGCTTGTTTCCTCACTTATAAAATGGAATTAAAACTAGATTGGTCAAAGGTGGCAAGTTTTAGTAATGCTTCTTTTTTTCTTTTGAAAGTTTAATGAAAGTTTATGGAGAATTTGGATTTACATTTATTCTTTGTTGCACATTTTCCTCCCTGCCTACCCCACCCCAATTCACGTTTCTCTTAGAAAAAAAAAATTCTGTCACTGCTATACAATTCTGCCCCACCTTTTCCCAACCCCAGTCCACTTCACTATGCAGCTCTCATTTTGGACTTTGTCATGCAAATAATACTTAATCATATATTCCTTTTAAACAGTTCTCTCCCTCATCTGTTTCAAT